TTCGCAATGTTTTTTTATTAAAGAACTTAAAAAAACGTTGCGAAACGTTTTTTTCCAATATAATATCTGTCTCTTATACACATCTAGATGTGTATAAGAGACAGGTTCAGAAGTCAGGTCATATAAATATTAATCTGAGTATTTGTACAGGTTGGTTTTTATACTCAAGTCAAGTTTGAATATATCTTCAAATCTGACCTGACTTGACCCTTTTAGAACACTAATAATATATAATAATATGTATCATATATAATAGTATAAATTATTGGGTTATAGTACATTTTGCCAAAAACCATTTTACCAAAAGGATATTTCACTTAAATTAGGGCCAACATTATGCAAAATTATAAATAACTCAGGCTAAAAATTATTTTTTGGCAAAATGGCTTTTGGCAAAATGTTCTGATACTGAATAAAGCTCCGCATGAGCCGGCTTGAGTCGAGCCACAGTCTGGCTCAGCTCAGCTCGAAAAAAAAAATTCTGGCCTAAGCCAGAATAAGCCGAGCCATAAAAATTTCGGCTCAAGCTAAAGTGAGCTGAGCCGAGCCATGATTTTCATGGCTCGAGCCAAGCCAGGCTCAAGCTTTATCTTCAGAAAAACGTTTCGCAACGTTTTTTTATTAAAGAATTAAAAAAAACGTTGCAAAACGTTTTTTTCTAAAATAATATTGTGAAAAAAACATTTTTGCAACGTTTTTTTATTAAAGAACTTAAAAAAACGTTGCGAAACGTTTTTTTCTAATATAATATTGTGAAAAAAACGTTTTTGCAATATTTTTTACTAAAGAATTTAAAAAAACGTTGCGAAACATTTTTTTCTAAAATAATATAGTGAAAAAAATGTTTTCGCAACGTTTTTTACTAAAGAATTAAAAAAAACGTTGCGAAACGTTTTTTTTAATATAATATTATACAAAAAACGTTTTCGCAACGTTTTTTGTATGATAACTCAAGCCAGCTCGAGCTTTTTGAGCCAAGCCTATTACTGGCTTGAGCTTTTTGAGCTGAGCCTATCACTGGCTCGAGCTCATTTCAAGCTGGCTCGCGAGCCACTGAGCCAATTTAATTGTGGCTCAGCTCGGCTCAGATTGAAAAGCTCAAGCCAGCTCGTAAGCCGGCTCGGCTCATGCGGAGCTTTACTTTCACTTCGAGAATTATGTTATGCAAAATTTATTGAAGCAGATATTAGTAGCAAAGGAATTAATGATTTTAGCTTATCACAAAAGCACTCAAATATGTTAATTTTAAAGCAGAATTCCTACAATTCATTAATGAAGCAAATAAGAATTTTTATGATTTTTTCAAGATATTTGAATTCATTAAATATTGCATTTGATATACAGTTAACCCTTGTTATAACAAACTCTAGGGTCCAGACTATACATATAGCCAAAACCTCTATAAAGCTGAATAGAGTTTTGGACTTTCAGTAATTTAATTATAATAAATTATTAAAAACTATTTAGAAATCCATCTGAAACTCCAAAGACTTTATATTATAGTTTCAGCTAGATGTAGAGATTAATTTTTATCATTTTTTAACTTAATTTTGATTTAAAGACGTGTTCAAAAATCACGTGAAAAGGTTTCAGCTACAAGTATAGTCCAAACTTCAACTTCGCTATAAGACTATAGTGAAGATTTTAAGAGATTTGATTAGTTAATTCGTTATAATGAGGGGAAATTTATTATAATTGTCTGAAAAATTTACTATATTAAGGGTTCGTCATATCAAGGTTTGACTGTATTGTTATTCATCAACAATATGTAGAAGATTTTTTTAACAAATAGAATTTTAAAACACATCAAAATATGATAAATAGCTTTCAACAATTAAAACTTCAACTGTCTACTACTTCCTTTACTAAAATTAAATGTTTCCTTTTTTGATTTAATGAAGTTTAGAACTAAAAAACATCAAACTTTAAATGAAATAACTTCTCTTTATAACCAAAATTTTAATGAAAAAAGTGATAATAAAGATCAAGACCTTGAACAAAAAGCAAATATATTGTTTAAGAGATTATTTGACCGAAAATAATTTTAATTTTATATATTATAAAATAATATAAATATTATATACAAATATTCTATTATTTTATGTATAATTATTCCAGTTTTTTAATTCTAATTGTTGTATAATATTAAAAAATCTCCATTATCTAAATTTTAATAGTTAACTGATATAAGTTTAATTAATTAATTGGTATACTACCCTAACATCATGGTATTTTGTAATTTTATAGTTTAGTAAATCAAAAAAATTAGTATTCCCATTGATCACTCCACAATAGTATATATAATTCATGCAAATAAAAACTAATAAGATAATTGTAATTAAGATATAATATCTAATTATAAAATGATAAATAAAAAAGTTAGATTAATCAGTTGTATAGCAAAAGTTATTTTTTATTAAATTATGAATAGTATCATATTAGTTATTATAGTCCTATTATATAAAAGTGACAGAGTTAAAATTAAAGCTAATGTATTTTTCATCAAATATTTATTATAGCACAATATAAAAAATATGAACAATACTAAAAATCTTTAGTTTTTCTAAGATAATCTACCACCAAATATATAAAAACTGTCTATATATAAAGAAAATAAAACAGAAATGAAGAAATAAAAATAAAAGATAAAACTATAATAATCAGTTTATAAAAAATTAAAAAAAGAAAATTTTTATATAATTTCAGTAAAACTGAAATTGATATCTTTGTCTCAATATTTCAAGGTTTTAGGTGTATATAGATTAAAAAAGATGATGCTAAATGTATTATCCATCCATAGTTTAAACTATTCAATATACTATTAGTTTCAATAAAATGCCAAATCTGAAATACAAAATTATAATTATACTGAAATAGAAGAATTGTTTTGAATCAGTAATTGACTATAAAGAGAATGGTAATGCTTGAAATGTAACTAAAAAATATTCAATAAAAAGTGTAAACAGGTCTAAAAGTATTTATATAATAGATTTCTGGAAAGAATTATTCATTTCCATTTTAGAAAAAGTTTTAAGTATAAGAAAATTAGAATTAAAGCTCTAATCGAGTCAGTTCTAATCCGACAACCCGGACTGAAAATTCGGATTGGTCCAGTCTGGGTTGATGCTTTAATCCGGACCAAAATATTTGGTCTGGTCTGGTCCGGTTTCAGATTATAAATCTAACCCAGGCTGAAAAAATGGGTTGGAACTGGATCAGACTGATAAATATTTTCGCAATGGTTTATATTAAAACCGTTGCGATTATTTAATTATTAAATAAAAAAATGTTGCGTAACATTTTTTTTAACATATTATTATAAAAAAAACGTTTGCATAATGTTTTTTTAATTAATTTAAAGAAAAAATGTTGCGCAACATTTTTTCTAAGTATATTTATTAAAAAAAACGTTTGCGCATCATTTTTCTAATTAGTTTAAAGAAAAAACATTGTGAAACATTTTTTCTTATCATATTTAATTAGAAAAAATATTTGTGCAATGTTTTTCTAATTAGTTTAAAGAAAAAATGTTGCGAAACGTTTTTTCTTATCATATTTAATTAGAAAAAATGTTTGCGCAATATTTTTCTAATTAGTTTAAAGAAAAAATGTTGCAAAACGTTTTTTCTTATTATATTTAATTAGAAAAAACATTTGCGCAATGTTTTTCTAATTAATTTAATGAAAAAATGTTGCAAAACGTTTTTTCTAAGTATATTTATTAAAAAAAACGTTTGCACAATGTTTTTCTAATTAGTTTAAAGAAAAAACGTTGTGAAACATTTTTTCTTATCATATTTAATTAGAAAAAACGTTTGCGCAATGTTTTTCTAATTAGTTTAAAGAAAAAACATTGCGAAACATTTTTTCTTATCATATTTAATTAGAAAAAACGTTGGCGTAATGTTTTTCTAATTAATTTAACAAAAAAATGTTGCGAAATGTTTTTTCTAAGTATATTTAATTAGAAAAAACGTTTTCGCAACATTTTTCTAATTAACTTAACGAAAAAATGTTGTGAAACGTTTTTTCTAAGTAATTGCAACGTTTTTTTATTATAGGACCGGACTGGATTGGACCAAAATAACTGGTCTGGTCTGATCTGGTCTCAGATTCTCCTTTTAATATAAACCGGACCAGACCGAAATGAACTAATTTTTCAGTCTGGTCTCAGGTTACTCTTCAACCCGTAGTAGATGAAGAAAGAGCCTGCCAATAGATAGTAATAGTATCATTAAGACCTAAATTATAAGCTATTTATAAGTGTGATAAAAGTACTTTAACTCATTCAAAAGCATTTTCTTATTCTTATTCTGTCTTTCTTTCTACTTTTCAGTTAGTACTGCTAATAAATTATGGATTTTAGCTCAAAAAACACAAAAAATCTTAATAAAAACTAAAAAAAAGGGTTTTAATAAAGTAGGGGTATTTAAAGTATATTATATTAAGAAAAAATAAAAAAAATAAAAAAATATTTTTTTCAAAAATATGGTTTTCCTATAGCATAGGGAAAGTTTGTTTTTATTGGTTATAATCAATGTATATCACGTTATTATGATTGGCTAAATAAAATAATACGTGATAATACTACACGTATTACAAATCATCCTATGAGTCATTTTCAACTCATCTGTAGGGGTTTTAACTATTCAATATGGTCCAAAAAAATCATGGCCCATATTTAGTATGAAATTGTAATAATCAAGTGATTCGTTTTCTTTAATTCATTTCATTAGCATATGAGAAAGCTCAAAAAAAAAAAAAAGAAACATATAAATATACATATCTAATAATTAGACAACAATTGTGTCATAGTCATTATATGAGTATTGTTGAACTTTACGATACTCAAAAGTTAGAAGTTCTTTTTTTTTTAGAACCAGATAAAGAAAATTCAAATCATAAATATTAAAATGATTGAAAATTAAATTTTTTTATAACTAATTTTTTATTTATTACATACAAAATCAAAAAGCAATTCATTTACCAAGTAGGTTACTATGCTTACAAAGGTTCCATATGAGTGGCATGGTAATTTAAAGCTTAATCCTATCCATTTTAAACAAATGATAGAAAAAGCAGACCCATATTTATAAGGTCTTTTTGATAAATTAGTAAAGGCATTAGTTTCTGATAAAAAATCTGTATATAATAAAGTTGAAGCAAGAAAAACAATTGTAAGTCTATGTTATATCATGGCTGAAATGTAAAATAAGTTTATTAATGATTTCAAGTTAGAAATTGGATTATATTTATCAGTATTGGATGCAACATGTGTTGCAATTAATACAATAAATAGTATTGGATTTTCTGCTTATTATATAATAGTTAATAATTTTAAACATAAAATTGCCAATGAACATTCATTAAATATCAGAAAATTTCTCTCTGAACATGTAAGTAAAAAAATATATTTTTTTTTTATTTGAAGAACTACTATTAACCAAAATTTAATTACAATCAGAGTGACCATTTGTACGTTTATAATCTAAATAATTATCATGATATACATAAAAAAAGAAGACCAGATGCCATAACTTTATCTACTGCCAAACATATGGCCACTTGAATCTGTAAGCAGGTTTCAGGTTGTGCACCAATACCTATTATTTTTAACAACGTGTCAGTTCATAATCTAGTAAATATTGATGCAAGCAATAAATTAATTCAGGAATATCATGGAATATTTGATATTGCATATACTAAAGCTCTAAATGGTCTGGATTGATCCGGATTGAAGAGTAATCCGAGATCAGACTGAAAAATTAGTTCATTTTGGTCCAGTTCAGTTTACATTAAAAAGAGAATCTAGGATCAGACTGGACTGGACTAGTTATCTTGGTCCAGTCCAGTCCAGTCCTATAATGAAAAAACATTGCACATTTTTTTTATAATAATATATTAAAAAAAAATGTTTTCGCAACATTTTTTCATTAAATTAATTAAAAAAATGTTGCAAAAATGTTTTTCTAATTAAAATTACTTTGAAAAAATGTTTCGCAACATTTTTTCATTAAATTATTATAGAAACGTTGCGAAAATATTTTTTCTATAATAATATATTAAAAAAAAACGTTTTTGCAACATTTTTTCATTAAATTATTATAAAAACATTGCAAAAACATTTTTTCTATAATAATATATTAAAAAAAAATGTTTTCACAACGTTTTTTCATTAAATTTAAAGATGTAATATGTAATTATTTTTAAAAGGTTGTAAGGTTGCAACTATTACAACATACATACAACACTTTTGTTGTAATTACAACACAATATTATAATCGTTATATAGTATAATAATTACTACTAGTATTGTAATTATTATATAGTGTTGTAATTATTTCTAATTATACAAATATGTATTATAATACATTAATCATTTTTTTTATAATAATATTTGTTTTATAAAAACTTATTTTTGTAATTTTTATTTTTCAAAAAGGAAATTTTTGAACAATCATAAGTGTTGTAATATTACAACACTTTAACTTTAAAAGTAGTAATAGGTTGCAACCCTTATTATTACAACACAAAATAGTAATTATCAATTACATACTACATCTTTAATTAAATTAATTAAAAAAATGTTGCAAAAACGTTTTTTAATTAAAATTACTTTGAAAAAACGTTTTTTTTAATTAAAATTACTTTGAAAAAACGTTTTTTTTAATTAAAATTACTTTGAAAAAACGTTTTTTTTAATTAAAATTACTTTGAAAAAACATTTTTTTAATTAAAATTACTTTGAAAAAACGTTTTTTTTAATTAAAATTACTTTGAAAAAACGTTTTTTTAATTAAAATTACTTTGAAAAAACATTTTTTTAATTAAAATTACTTTGAAAAAATGTTTTTTTTAATTAAAATTACTTTGAAAAAATGTGTTTTTTAATTAAAATTACTTTGAAAAAACGTTTTTTTAATTAAAATTACTTTGAAAAAACATTTTCTTAATTAAAATTACTTTGAAAAAACGTTTTTTTTAATTAAAATTACTTTGAAAAAATGTTTTTTTAATTAAAATTACTTTGAAAAAATGTTTTTTTTAATTAAAATTACTTTGAAAAACGTTTTGCAACATTTTTTCATTAAATTATTATAGAAATGTTGCGAAAACATTTTTTCTATAATAATATATTAAAAAAAAATGTTTTCACAACATTTTTTCATTAAATTAATTAAAAAAACGTTGCAAAAACATTTTTTAATTAAAATTACTTTAAAAAAATGTTTTTTTAATTAAAATTACTTTGAAAAAACATTTTTTTTAATTAAAATTACTTTGAAAAAACATTTTTTTTAATTAAAATTACTTTGAAAAACGTTTTGCAACATTTTTTCGTTAAATTATTATAGAAATGTTGCGAAAATATTTTTTCTATAATAATATTTTAAAAAAAACGTTTTCGCAACATTTTTTCATTAAATTAATTAAAAAAAACATTGCGTAAACATTTTTTTATAACAATATATTAAAAAAATGGTTCACAACGTTTTTTTATTTAATAATTACAATCACAACGGTTTTACAGCTATTTTCTAAATTATTAACTCCTCCCTGTTATTTTTAAAAAATTTTTCAGATACAGTCAGCCTGAATTACTGTGTCTGACGGCGTTTGACTGCGTCTAATTGCATCTGACTGTGTCTGAAAAATTTTTTAAAAATAACAGGAAGGAGGTCAATAATTTAGAAAATAGCTGTATTATAAAATTATTGTGAAAATGTTTATTTAGTCCAATCCATAAAATTTGGTCTGGATTAGATTTATAATCTGAAATTAGACCAGACCGGACTGAATATTTTGGTCCAGATTAGATTTATAATCCGAAATCAGACCAGACCAGACTGAATATTTTGGTCTGAATTGAAACATCAACCCAGTCCTGACCAATCTGAATTTTTAGTTCAGATTGCCAGATTAGGACTGGACCGATTAGAGCTTTAGCATACACTAATCGTAAAAAGTAATGGCTTATTAATGAACAATTAGCTATTGATACTTTTGATCAAATTGAACTACTCACAGTGCATTGTTATAATGATGCCATTGCTGAATAAAAAGAAGAATGTTCAATGAAAGAAGTATGATTAATTGGGTTTCAAGAAAAGAATTTGCATTCTCTGAATGATTATGTAACAACATTACAAATGATCTTGGATATTAATAAAGATACTGAATACTTACAAAATCATATTGCACTATTAGTAGCAGATTGGCCTGGACAGTTATTTGTTCGTAAAGCAATAACAAATTTGCATAAGTTGGATTCACAATATTCAATACCAACTGGGATTAACTCATTTATTCCAATTTTAGGCCCTTTTCACATATCTCTAAATAGCAGAGAATATATATTAATTATATATTATACCTTCTTTCAAAAACTATTTCATTTTGTATTTGGTAAAAGAAAAGTATTAGCAAAGAAACCCAAATCTTGAAAAATTAATTTGCTTCTTGATACTATTTTAACAAAATTTGAAAATACCTGTAAAGACATAGAATACCGTAAGGTTATTGACTTGTTGGATAATATAATTCCTGCAACTTTAGATGTATATTTTATTCTTTTTTGATTTGGTTTATTCAATGAATATATAGAAACAATTTTTTAAAATTTGGACATTTACACTTAGATGGAAATGTCATAATTATAATAAAGTACCATTAGCCTTCTTATCAGATAGTTTTTATTAGCAAGATACAAACCATCCATTTGCTGAAGCTGTAAAATTATTTTTAGTAAACTTTAATAATTATTATCATATTTTTCCAAAATTAGTTACTTTTTTTTTACAAGGATTTCGGTTAAAAAACTTGGGAAGATGCTTAATTTTGAAAGTTTTTTTACTAGTATTTTATATAAAAATCTTTTTATCAAAGTACAAAAAGTTGGTAGGGGTGCTTAATTTTGGGGGTGACTAATTTTAGAAAAATACAGTATGTTGAGAATATGTATAGTAAAATAAGATCTTAAACACCAATGTTAACAATATAATAAAATAAGCTTATGTGATTAGTATTTTATTTTGCCAACTATTTTTTATTTCTATTTGTTGTTTTATGCAATATACACTTTTAACATTATTTAATCTTTATGTAAAGAACGAAACCATTGTAAATTTAAAGATACTTTTCAAAAAATAAAGGCATATTCTTACAAGCCATCATTGTTAAACATTCTGGCAGAAAAAACATTATTATTTTTATTAGACTATTTTTAGAGAATTTTTAAGAATCATGGGAAAAGTAGTAAATTATATAAATCAAAGAAAAAGATACAATGTCAATTAGCTACCTTGAGAGAGACTGTTAATACAAATGTCTTCCAATAGAATACAATACAAATATGCCTTTATTGCCAAATTCTTGTGATCATTGCCGTAAAAAACTTGATGATGGCGAAGTATTGATTTGTGGGTATACAGTCAACTCTCTTTATAGTCACACATTTGGGACAGTCCATATTTGGTGATTATAAAGAGATGTGACTATATAAAAAATTTCTTATATTTGTATATCATAATTCCGGCCAAAAATTAACATAATTTTAGCCAGAATTATACTTAAAACTTTATTGTATCGTAACTTC